ACCCAGAAGGCTTGAAAATCACACTAGGTGCATGTGTGTGTGTGCCCAAAAAGGACTGCAGTATGGCCATATCCCTTGGAGGAGGATTTCTTACTTTCCCTCTTTTGTCTCTCTCTGTCTCCAGTGAGTGCATACACCCTAAGGCAAAAACCTAACAAAACAAAACGTGTATCATAATTCACATCAATATAATTCAATCACTCATCATTATTAGATTTACCTAATTTTAAAAAATACCCCTCTATGCCATCATTTAATAATAAGGCCCATATTATGGTTATTCTAGAATTAATTTTTATAATTGCAAAGTAGCTTGTCTACTTTGAAACTACCAAACTACTTACAACAAAATATTCCTTTATCTTTTCCTACCCTTCTTTAGTCCCTATCTCTAGAGGCTTTCAAGTCTTTCTGTATTTCTTTCTCTTTTTCTTTTTAAATAATTTTTTAAAACTTTATTTATTTATTTTACTTTGACCAGAGAGGGACAGTGAGAGAAAGAGGAAAAATGAGAAAGCAAGTCACCAGGTCTGGGATTTGAACTGGTTAGGCATGTGGGAATCCAGTGCCCTTAACCACATGCCACCTGCCGGCCCGTCTTTTTTTAAAAAACATTTATTTGTTTGTTTGTTTGTTGTGATTTTCAAACTCCCAGGTTTAGGACTTGAACTGCAGTTGGCCATATGGGAATCCAGCACTCCAACCACCATGCCACCTACTGGTCCCCAAAATTTTTAAATTATTTTTATTATTTCAACTTTACTTATTTTATTTTATTTGACCAGAGAGGGACAGAGTGAGAGAGAGAGAGCACACGCACAAGCGAGAGAGGGAAAGTGAGAAAGCAAGCCACCAGGTCTGGAACTCAAACCGTGGTTGACCATGTGGGAGTCCAGCACCTTTAACCACCATACCACCTGCCAGCCCCTGAAATACCCATATTTCTAAGAAATGCTATTATATTTTGAGTAATTTTATTTGTTTATTTGTTTAAATTCCCAGAGGGCACATGCACTTGCCAGTGAGACAGAGCAAGAGAGGGAGAGGGAGAAAACACCCCTCAATGGGGCTTGCTCATGCTGCAATCTCTTCTCTGTTTATTTTGTTGGGATTTAGGGCATGCATGTACATACACCTGGCATATTTTTTCAAGCCTCCAGTGCTAGAATTTGAACCATGGTCAGCCATGTTTTTTTTTTTTAAAGGTTTTTTTCTATAAAGCATGTGTGCTTGGTGGAGGGACAGAAAGAGAGAAATTAACCCCTGGGGGAGATGGCCATGCCACAATCCTTTCTCCTCCATTCTCTCTCAGGATTTTTGGCATGCATGCACACACACCTGGTGTTTCAAGCCACTGGGTCCAGAACTTGAACCATGGTTGACCATGTGGGAGTCTAGCACCTTAACCATGATGCCACCTGTTGGCCTCTGTCACTCATTGATTTTTTTTTCTTTTTAAGATTTTTGCCATCGGGCATGTTCGCTCACCAGAGAGACAGTGAAAGAGAAAGTGAGAAATTCGCCCCAGGAGGATGGCCACGCTGCAGTCCCTTCTCTGTTTTCCTCCTAGGATTTTGGGCATGCATGCACACATGCTTGGTGTGAGGTTCAAACAACCAGATCCAGGACTCGAACCATGGTCAACCATGTGGGAGTCCCTGCCTTAACTACCACACCACCTGCTGGCCTCCACTCATCATTTTTTTTCTTTAGGTAAAAATAATTTTTCCTTTTCATTGAGTGTTTCCTTTGCATAGTCTCCTCTTGGCTGCTGTTTTGGTAACAATTAGGTCCCCAACTGGCAAAACCATTGCATCCCACCAGGCTGAGACCCAGTGTGGATACAGGTCCGAACCCAGGGTTTTGAGAATAACAAGAAACAGCAAAACTAGCTTTTCCTTTCACTTAGAACGGACTGCAAGCCAGAGGGTTCACACCTCCACCTTCCACATTTAGAAAACCACAGTTATGAAAACCAAAATGTGTCAGGAATGAAGTATGAAACCCCTCACGTACTCAAGGTTGAGATGGGTTCTGAGAGTTAAGTATCAGACCACCTGACTGTTCTGTTAGGAATGGCCCCACTCCGCATGTTTAAAGAAAAACATTTTTGCTTCTATTCATTTCCCACAGGGGTAGAGAATCTACTGAAAGGAATATAGTGAATCAGAATAGATCAGCTCACTACAAGGAAACACTCCTGGGCAATGATTTTGGTTGCTGAGAATATTCAGCACATCATTTCAAAGTGGCAAAATCAGGGTGATCTGAGGAAAGCGTTCCAAGTATGGCTGCATCTGCTGACAGATTCATGTGGGACACATACACGGAGCTCCCATGTTTTCAGTGTATATGCCAAAGGGCCAAGACCTTTGATTATCAAAATAAGTTATTTTGTACATTACAGTGCACAGAACAACAGAAGGACACTTCCTTGGAGGGTGACAGGCATTTTACACAAGGTCACTATCGCTGAGGCAGAAAGACTGGAGCCCTGTGCTTTCATGAACTCGACCCCTCCTCTTTGGATGTTGTCACCCCCAGTGGGAGTGGCTTCCTCCGCATGTTCTTCTGGCTGCTTCTCCTCATCCTCTTCCTCCTGGGGATAGAAGTCTGGGTATTTCTGCATGCATTTTGCATGGCCCAGAACTAGCCTATACAGTCTGAGTCTTTGACGTCCTCTATAGTGCTATAGTGGAAGCAGGAAAAGGCTGAATTAAACTGTTCACCACAGGGGCGCTGGCCATTCCCCCAAGGCATGGGCAGTTCCAGTTAACGTCTCCATTGGGCAGGATCAGTTCGTGCTCCTCGTACAGATGGCTGGGGTCATCAGCCCCCAGCTCTGCACTGCTTGGTGTTTCATGGTCTTTGACCACAAATATGATTCCATCCTTTCCTTTCTGCTGGCAGTAGGACATGGCTGAAGCTGGCGCTCAGACCATAGCACAAGCGGCTGTGGCAACAGCAGCGATTCCTTCACGCCGTGACCTCCCTCTTTTTTTGAGAGAGACTTTTGCTAGGGGATGTGATTTGCCAGAGAGACAGGCAGAGAGACAGAAAGCAAGAAATCACCCCGTAAGAATGATGGCCACGCCGCAATCCCTTCTCTATTTTCCCCTCGAGATTTTGGGAATGCATGCACAGGTGCCTAGCATGGGTTTTAAGCTACTGGGTCCAAGACTCAAACTGGTCAACTACGTGGGAGTCCAGTGACATAACCATTATGCCAACTGCGGGTTCCCCATGCATCGATTTTTAAGAGCCTTTTACTCATTAAATAGATTAGTTGCTGGTTTGTTTTAATTTTTCTTATTGTAGTAATACATATTACATAAAATTTTTCCGTTTTAAGTGAACAGTTCCATGGCATTAAGTACATTCCCATTGTTGTTCAACCCTCACCACTGTCCATCTCAGAACTTCTTCAACATTCTCCCTTAGCCCCTGGTAACTACTATTCTACTTTTCTGTCTCTGATTGTGACTATTTTAGGTACCTTGTACAAGTGGAATCATGTGATATGTGTCCTTTTGTGACTGGCTTGTTGCACTTAGCATGATGTCTTCAAGGTTTAGCCATTGATTTTCATGTGTAGTTAGACAACTTGTGGGATCCTCTTTTTCAGTAGTTGATGTTTGTTTTGTTTTTAATTTGCCAGAAGGTGTGTGTGCTTATCAGAGAGAGACAGAAAGAGAGAGACAGAAGAGGAAAGTGAGAAAACATCCCCTACTGAGAATGGTCATGCCTTCATCTTTTCTTCATGTCTCCCTCCTTTCAGGAGTTTGGGCATGCATGCACACATGCTTGGGTGTGTTTTTCAAGTTGTTGGGTCTGGGACTCAAACCGTGCAGTTAACCAAATGGGATCTAGCTCATGTAGCCACCAGCTGGCCCAACTGATAACGTTTTAAACTGCTTACTTACTGTCTTCATTCATCTTCTTCTCTTGTAATTATACTTATTTCATTATCAATTATTGTACCCACCTCTAGTATCTCGGAAAAGGAAAGCCAAGAACTGGGAAGATGAAGACTTTTATGACAGTGATGATGATACGTTCCTTGATCGGACTGGCCTGGTTGAGAAGAAGCGACTGAACCGAATGAAGAAGGCTGGGAAGATTGATGAGAAGCCAGAGACCTTTGAATCACTGGCAAGTTTTATTTATAGAAAGAGCTGTAGTATTCATTTATTTAACAAAATAGAGGGTTATTAAATTGTCACTATGCCTTAAGGCCAGCCAAGTATCTTATTTATGATAGTTGCAATTAAAAAAAATGTATTATTATTATTTTTAATCAGACCAGAGAGAAACATGGGGAGAGAGAGGGAAAGCGAGGAAGCAGGCTGCCAGGTCCAGGACTCGAACTGTGGTCGGCCATGGGGGAGTCTAGTGCCTCAACCACCACACCACCTGCCGGCCCTGATAATTAGAATTTTAAAGCAGCATTGGAATCTGCTACTGAAGTATGACTTTTGTGATCTGTTAATTTAATGGTAATAAATAGTCTTTTTTTTTTTCCTTTTTCCTTTTTTTTTTTAGAGAGAGATTTTTGCTCTAGGGCATGTGTGCTTGCTGGAAAGACAGAGAGAGATAGAGATAGAAAGTGAGAAATCACTCCCCAGGGATGATGGCCACACTGCAATCCTTCTGCTCCATTCCCCTCTCAGGATTTTGGGCACACATGCACACATACCTGGCGTGAGTTTTAAGCCACCGGGTACAGGACTCGATCTGTTGTCGACTATGTGGGAGTCCAGCGGCATAACCATTATACTATCTGCTGCTCCCAATAAACAATTAGTCTTATTTAAGTTCTGGTGAAAAAAATGTGACTTGCTGCTAGGGACTTTCCTTTAGGATTTTATTGATATATTAATGAACATTCTTTGGATATATTACTCTCCCAAAAAAGAAAGGAAAGTAATTGCAATTTAGGGCAATCTGAGGTGAAATTGACTTTAGGCTTTCTGCAATCAAGAGAAGTCAAAGGATTTTTATTTAATTAAATTAATTTTTTGAGATTTTTTGCTATAGGGCGCATGTGCTCACCAGAAAGACAGACAGACAGAAAGCGAGAAATCACCCCCTGAGGGGATGGCCATGCTGCAATTCCTTCTCCTCTATTCTCCTCTTGGGATCTTGGGCACACACACACACACGTGCCTGGCGTGAGTTTAAACCACTGGGTCTGAGACTCGAACTGCAGTCGACTACATGGGAGTCCAGTGACATAGCCATTATGCCAACTGCTAGTCCCAGAAGCCAAAGGATTTTTTGAGGAATATAATGTGGTAATAGCCTGAATACGTATATCCTTAATAAAATAATTACAAGATGTCACACAGTAACACTGTATTTAGTAGTACTCAGAACTTAAAACATTACCCAACTTCTATCCCTTTGGTTCATCAGTGAAAACAAATGCTGTGAGCTATTTCCTTGAGTTAAGTAAAGTTTGGGTTATTCATTGTGTTTAATTCTTTAATTCAGAAATGGATTCGATTAGAATTATTGGGTTGTTGGAAAAGTCATGATGTATTTTTTTCTATGTAAAAGTGTGTCTTGACTTTTCTGACAACCCAATAGATAAACAAATGAGAAATGTTAACTCTATAAGGAGCAAATTTAACTGGGCTTCTGAATTAATCCTCTTAAAATTTGTAGTAACAATAGTAAAAACAAGACGGTGATAAGGAAACATAGTTAGAAAGAACAACTTTTGCTGACCTAGCCATGTTAGAATATTCTGGTTGACACCGCTACTCAGCAGTCTGAGGCCACTTGAGAGGCCTAGGTTCAATTCTCACTTCACCTTAAAAAGCCACAGGCAGGGCCTGTGGTGTATCTGTGGTCCCAGCTTTTTTTTTTTTTTTTTTTGAGAAGTTTTCACTGTAGGGCGCGTGCGCTCGCCAGACAGACAGAGAGAGACATAGAGACAGAAAGCGAGAAATCACCCCCCAGGGGGGATGGTCACGCCGCAATCCCTTCTCCTCCATTCTCCTCTGGGGATCTTGGGCACGCACGCACACGCGCCCGGCGTGAGTTTTAAGCCACCGGGTCCGGGACACGAACCGCGGTCGACTACATGGGAGTCCAGCGACATAGCCATTACGCTAACTGCTGGTTCCCGTCCCAGCTTTTTGAAAGGCTGAGGCAGAAGGATTTTGAGCATGTGGCCATTGTGGGCAGTACTCTGAAACTCAATGTGAAAGAGCTCTGTAGTTGCAAGCCCTGTAGTCTCAGCTACTCAGGAGGATTGTGACACAGTGAAACTGTCTTTTTTTTTTTTTCATTGTCAGTGGGCACATGGGCTCACCAGAGAGAGAGAGAGAGATAGGAAAAGTGAGAAGGCACTCCCCCAATGGGTCACGTTTGTGCTGTAATCCCTTTACATCCATTTCTCCTTTTCTTTATGATTTTGGGCACCCACGTACATGCGCCTGATGTGTCTCAAGCCACTAGGGCCAGGTTTCACATGGGATCTGGCTCTCCATACATGGAGCCCAACTGCTGTGCTATGGGTTGGCCCACGTGTGTCTTAAAAAATATAAAAAAAAGTGAATGAACAAAGAAAAACATTGACTAACCCTGTTGAATTGGTGTTATAGGTTGCAAAACTAAATGATGCTGAAAGAGAACTTTCTGAGATTTCTGAGAGGCTGAAAACATCGAGCAGAGGTAAGACTTTCAGCAAATTCTTGGGCAAGGCCTACATATCTAGTGCACATTCTGGGCACGGGGCTGTCTTGGTAAATAAGCTATATTATACAAAATATGAACCCTTCCTAAGGAGGAGTATCGTGTTGTAGAGCTAAAAAGAGCATTATAAGTGATTTGGTTCAACCTCTTTATTTAATGGTTGGGGAGAATGAAGCCCACTGAGACAAAATGACTTCCTAAAGTCTCACCGCTGTAACTCGTTTTTTTTTTTTATTCCTAATGTCAGTGATGTCCTCTGTCCAGCTTTATGTTATGACTTCTGTGGAAACTGTGGCTGAATTTATAAATATTTGGGGCCATCTTTCTGAACATGTATAATCTTTTTCTTGGACAGCTCTGTCAGAGTCTCCATCTCAGGATTCTTTAGATGCATTCATGTCAGAAATGAAATCAGGGAGTGCGTTAGATGGTGTGTCCCGAAAGAAACTTCACCTGAGGACTTTCGAACTGAGGAAAGAACAACAGAGACTTAAAGGGTTAATAAAAATTGTAAAGCCAGCAGAGATTCCAGAACTTAAAAAGTAAGTACATTTTAGTTATATTGGGAATTTAATTAATTAATTTATTTTAATTAGTCAGAAAGTGTGTGCTTATCGGAGAGAAGCAGAGAGAGACCAGGAGAGGAAGTAAATACCCCTCATGGAGAACGGTCACCTTGCAATTTTTCCTCCTCCATTTCTCCCTCCTTTTCAGAATTTTGGATGTGCACACACATCTGCCTGGTATGTTTTTCAAGCTGCCTGGTTTGGGACTTGAACTGTGTGGTCAGCCATGTGGATTCAGCACCCTTAACCACCAAGCCAGGGTCTGGCACCTAATTTTTACTATCTCTTTTTTCCCTTCCTCGGCGTTGTCCTAGTGGGCTTAACTTTTATAACCATCTCCAGCCAGTGAGAAAATTTATGCACACACCAGTTGTGGTATCTCTCACTGTCTTTGTCGTCACTCTTTATATGGGGTATCCTGTCCACTCATGCCCCCACCCCTCACACACACACTTTTCTTTTTCTTTTAACTTCTGTGCACAGAGTTCTTGTGCAATATTATGGTAAGTATGAGCTCTAGATAAATAAAGCATTCATCAGAGGTCGGTGGAAAAATAGAGCTTTACATCATGGATCCGTCTCCTGCTGCCTAGTGGAATGGCATCTTGCTCATGTGTTCTCCTTCACCCCTGATCTTTGTACTGTCATCAGCTTATGAATGTAAAGTGAGGTGACTTGTTATAGATTGCTACAGTAAGGGAACAGCCTCATCTTGCTTTTTTTTATTATTATTTTAACTTTCTTCTTATTATTTTCCAATTTTACCAGAGAGAGAGAGAGAGAGAGGGAGGGAAAGTAAGCCTCCAGGTCCAGGACTTGAACCTTGGTCAGCCACGTGGGAGTCCAGCTCCCTTCACCACACTACCTGACGGCCCCCTCATCATGCTTTTAATAGCACTATATCTTTGACCGTCATCAGGGTCTTTGTCCATTCAGACTGCCAGCTGGAATATTTCTTATAGAATCCTTAGGTATTAATTTGGTGATGATTTTGTTTTTGCCCTTAGTTTCTCTGTCAGTGTCATAGTATTTATTTTTTTTTGAGAGGTTTTTGATATAGGCAGCATGTGCTCACTAGAAAGACAGAGAGGGACAGAAAGAGAGAAATCACCCCCTGAGGGGATGGCCACACCGCAGTCCCTTCTCCTCCATTCTCCTCTTGGGATCTTGGGCATACACACACATGCACCCGGCATGAGTTTAAGCCACCAGGTCCGGAACTCGAACCGTGGTCAACTACATGGGAGTCCAGCGACATAGCCATTGTGCCAACTTCTGCTCCCAGTGTCATAGTATTCTTAAATGAAACCTTGAACTCACTAGAACAGATATGTATAATTATTCTTTCTTTCTAGGACTGAAAATCAGACTACAGGCACAGAAAACAAAGCTAAAAAGCTTACATTGCCTCTCTTTGGTGCCATGAAAGGAGGAAGCAAATTCAAATTAAAAACTGGAACAGTAGGGGTAAGTTGTGAGGAACCACGGTAATAGTTTCCTTCTCCTTCCTGTTCAACTGTTAGCTCTTGAGTTACCTCTTTTCTTTGGAAAGCTCCAACAACTCATTCCACAGTAATGTGAGAAAGCCAGTGGGCTTGGTTTGATCACATCTTTCCCAAATCTTGGTTCTCAGATTTTTCTTTCCAGCTTAGAGTTACTAAGAATTTGTGAGGGCCTGCAGGCGGCATAGTGGTTAAGGTGCTGGACTCCCACATGGCTGACCACAGTTTGAGTCCCAGACCCAGAAACTTGAAACTCATGCCAGGCGCATGTGCATGTGCGCTTAAAATTGCAGGAGGAGAATAGAGAAGGGATTGTGTTGTGGCCATTTCTGTGGGAGATGTTTCCTTTCACTTTCTTTCTCACTGTCTCTCTGACAAATGCACATGCCCAATAGCAAAAATCTCTCTCTCTCTTAAAAAACAAAACAAAAAAAGAATGGATAAATTGGGGTCAGTAGGTGGTATAGTGGTTATGGCTCTAGACTCTCACACGGCCAAACACAGTCTGAGTCCTTGACCTAGAGGTTTAAAACTCAAGCCAGATGCATGTGCATGCATATCAAAAATTCTAAGAGGAGAATGGAGACGGGATTGTGGCATGGTCATCCCCCCCCGGGGGAGGGGGGGTGATTTCTCACTTTCTCTGTCTCTCTGGTTACCACATGTGCCCTATAGCAAAAAAAAAAAAAAAGAATTGGTGAATTGATTCATGGGAATCAATTTGCAGGTAACTGATTTGTATATCACAATACCAGTTTATTATGTTTGATGGTTATTGTATTTAAGAACAGATCTCTAACCAGCCTGTGGTGTGGTGGTTGGGGTAGCTGGATCCCACATGGCCAACTGCACAGTTCAAGCCTCAGACCCAGTGGCATGATAAAACATACTGGGTGCATGTAAATGTGTACCCAAAATCCTGAAAGGAGGGGGAAATGGAGAAGGATTGCAGCATGACCATTTCCATGGGGGTTACTTTTTCACTTCACCTCTCTCTGTCTCTCTCTGGCAAGTGCACACACTCCTTAAGGCAAATTAAAAAACAAGAGGAAGAGGATGGGTCTCCATTAAATTCTTTTTCCTTGGTTGATAGATGTAACACTCAGACTCAACCAGCGTATACTAGTAATATAGTCTAGGCATCTGCCTCTGCTTTATGAATTTTTCCATACTTGATTCAATCCTCGTAACACCTTATAATGTATAGGAATTACTACTGCCTCTACAGATGTGGAAACAGGTCAAATACGAAATCACATCTTCATTCTTTTTTTTTTTTTTTTGGGGGGGTTTTTCCTATAGGGCGGGTGCGCTGGCTTTTGCTATAGGGCGTGTGCGCTTGCCAGAAAGACAGAGAGAGACAGAGAGACAGAAAGCGAGAAATCACCCCCCTGAGAGATGGCCACACCACAGTCCCTCCTCCTCCATTCTCCTTTTGGAATTTTGGGCATGCATGCATGCACATGAGCCTGGTGTGAGTTTCAATCCATCTGGTCCAGGACTCCAACCATGGTTGTTTATGTGGGAGTTCAGCACCTTAACCACCATGCCACCTGCTGGCCCCTCTCTCTCAAGTTTTGTGATCTTTGTCCTATCTGTAATACTTAACTGGTGTATGCTTTTGTTTTACATACATTCCTCTTCTTAGGTTCAGCTTTTAAAAGATTTTTATCAGCTCCAAAGAGCTGAAACTTGTGTATTACTTTGGTAGAGGTATCATAACACAGTAGCATAGATTGGATTGCTTTCACAACAGAAGTTTATTTTTGTAAGGATACCAGTCATGTTGGCTTAGCACTTCATCTGAAAGACCTGATTTTAACTCAGTCACTCTCCTGACATTATCTCTAAATACAGTCGCATTCTGAAGTACCAGGGGACTTCCACTAAATGAATTCCGTGGGGACGGTTCAGCCAATTGCACCTTGAAGTGGGGTAAACTGCCTTCTGGTAGCTGAGATCTGAAGACCAAGCTATATATTCCAAATGGTTTATTGAGATGGAAGCCTTTCTCTATTGTGGGGATGAGGTGCTTATTTATTTATTTATTTTCTAGAGAGAGATTTTTGCTATAGGGTTTGAGGGTATTTGTGCTCCCCAGAGAGAGACAGACAGACAGACAGACAGACAGAAAGTGAGAAATCAACCCAGGGGTGATAGCCATGCTGCAGTCCTTCTTCTCCATCCTCCTCTCAGGATTTTGGGCACACACACATACATGTGCCTGGCATGAATTTTAAGTTGCCAGGTCCAGGACTCAAACCACGGTGGACTACGTGGGAATTCAGTGACAATCATTATGCCATCTGCTGGTCCTGGTGCTTATTGTTTTAAATAGTAGAAAAAAATTTTAATTAAAAACAAACAAACAAAATGCTATCCTTAGAGGATTACTAAACCAAGTCCTATATTAAAAAGATGATACATGGGGCCAGCAGGTGGTGTGGTGGATAAGGGCACTGGATTCCCACATGGCTGATCATGGTTTGAGTCCTGGACCTGGTGGCTTGCTTTCTCGCTTTCCTTTTTTTTCTCTCTCTCTCTGGTCAAATAAAAAAATAAAAATAAGAAATGGAATTAAATAAATAATTCTTTTAAAAAATATTGTTTAAAAAAGATGATATAAGCAAGGTATATTTTGGTACCTTCTCTTTTCTATAACTTGATCAATTTTTATAAAAAGTACTTTTATTGAAAGGCATTGATTAGAATATTTGACCTTAATCTTTGAGAAATAGCTTCCTTCTAGATCTGTTTTATTGATTTTACATGTTATGTTTCCTTGAAATTATGTTAAATCTAAAATAAAAAAGCAGTACAAATTATTTTCTTCTTAGGAATGTGTGTCTGATTTACTCCTTAGAAGATTCATAAAAAATTAAGATCCTTTACTGTCATGAGGTATAACAGAACAGAATTCCTACAGCTGTTACTCACTTGGAATAAATGTTGTCGTTCTCATTAAGCTGTTTTAAGTGTTTTATATTTAATAATCTTTTTTTAAAGAATTTTTTATTTAATTTTATCAGAGAGAGAGAGAAAGAGAAAGCATGGGACTTGAATCATGGTCGGCCATATGGGAGTGTCCAGCACCTTAACCACCATGCTTCTTGCTGGTTCCTAGTAATCTTTTGACCCTGGGAACTAATAAATACGCTTATTAAGAATCCATAAATGGGGACCAGCAGTTAGTGTAATGGTTATATCGCTGGACTCTCATGTAGTCGACCGCGGTTCGCGTCCCGGACCCGGTGGCTTAAACTCACGCCGGACGCGTGTGCATGTGTGCCCAAGATCCCGAGAGGAGAATGGAGGAGGACTGTGGCGTGACCACCCCCCCTGGGGGGTAATTTCTCGCTTTCTGTCTCTCTGTCTCTCTCTCTCTGTCTGGCGAGTGCACGCACCCTATAGCGAAAACCTCTTAAAAAAAAAGAATCCATAAATGAGGGGGCTGGTAGGTGCTGTGGTGGTTAAGGTGCTTAACTCCCACATGACTGGCCATGGTTCAAGTCTTGGACCTGGTGACTTGCTTTTTCACTTTCCCTTCCTCAATTTGTCTCTTTCTCTGGTCAAATTAAAATAATAATAATAATAATAATAATAATAACAACAGCAAATAAAATATATAATTCTTTAAAAGAAATCCATAGATGGATAAAATTTCACATGAAAGTTCTACTTCCAGTAGACTTCTGTGGAATATATCAACCTAGAGAATTTAGACATTCCGTATATTTAACTTAACTTCCTTGAAGAGATTCGTTTCTTTTTATCATTATATATTAGTAGAATTACTCGTCCATGGTTTTGTTTCCTTCATAGAAGTTACCTCCCAAGCGTCCAGATCTCCCTCCAGCTCTAATGACAATGAAGGATGAACCTGAAGTAGAAGAGGAGGAAGAAGAAGAAGAAGAGGAAGAAGAAAAAGAGAAGGAGGAGCATGAAAAGAAAAAAATGGAGGATGGAAGCAGTAAGCTACAGCAGGAGGTAGAACCCGAGGCAGCAGTACAGGAAGCAAGTCCACCCACAGATCTCAAGTGTTCTGAAGCAACATGGAACCATGGTAGTAGCTTCTATCTCCTTCCTGTGCTGTCCAGTGGAGCAATTGCACTAATTATGGATAGGTTTAAAATAGCAGAGCCAGGTCCAATTATAGTGGTACAGGTAGGATGTCACTGTATCATGGTAGAGTCATAGGTAATGGTCCTGAGTTCTGTTCCTGGGTCAGTCTGAACATGTCAGGCTTGCCAATGGGTGCCCTCATTGACACAGAAAGTTGGGTTCCATGGCCCCGATTCCAATGCAGGAACAGCAACAAACTTGGTCCTTTGTCTCATGCTCATGAAAAATTAGAGACGTGGACATAGGAAGTGATTTTAAAGTGGCGTTTATTAAGAGAGGAACAGAAGAACAGTGCTCCCAGGCAGGGAGGGCTCTTAAGAATTAGTTCCTGAAGAGGAGCTATGGTAAGGGGTTTTTATCTTGGTTAGGAGGGGCTTGTGCATGCATTCCCCTCGTGGTGGGTGTCACATGTTAGAGGGACTTGTTAGGAGTGGGTATAAAGGTCATGGGACTCTTTTTGTCTAAAAGCTTTTGGTCATAAAAACCATTATCATCCTGGAAAGTAGTGGGGCCTGAAAGAAACCTTAATTGTTACATTTGCTTTAGGTCATGCTGCCTAGGTTAATCATTGATTCACTGCTATAAGCCTTTTCTGTGAGCAAGCTGTTCAGTGAGAGTTGACCTACTACTGAGCTGCTATGTCTCCATCTTAAAACTTAGCTGTTTTGGGGCCACAGATGGCATAGTGGTTAAGGTACTGGGCTCCTGCATTGTTGACTGTGTTACTGGGCTCCTGCATTGTTGACTGAGTCTTGAGACTGGTAGTTTGAAACTCATGCTGGGTGTGTGTGCGTGCATGCCTGAAGTCCCAAGAGGAGATAGAGGAGAAGGGATTGCAGCGTGGCCATCCCCCGGGGGAGTGATTTTTTGCTTTCTGTCTCTCGTTCTCTGTCTTTTCAGTGAAAAGTCACTATAGCAAAACTCTCTCAAAAACAAAACAAAACATAACCTTAGTCATTTTTTGATTCCATTGTGGGCCTATCTGTTTATCTCATAGTTTTCATTGGGTCCAGGGACTCTTTTTTTTTTTTTTTTTGGAGAGGTTTTCGCTATAGGGCGCGTGCGCTTGCCAGACAGAGAGAGAGAGACATAGAGACAGAAAGCGAGAAATCACCCCCCAGGGGGGATGGTCACGCCGCAATCCCTTCTCCTCCATTCTCCTCTGGGGATCTTGGGCACGCACGCACACGTGCCCGGCGTGAGTTTTAAGCCACCGGGTCCGGGACACGAACCGCGGTCGACTACGTGGGAGTCCAGCGACATAGCCATTATGCTAACTGCTGGTTCCCGGGTCCAGGGACTCTTTAGATTCCAAAGTTTCAAGTTGTCTGGCCATTGGTCCCTGACCCTAATTGTTCTGTGTATGACCTGTGGGGGAAGCTACAATTGCTGATTCCATTTGGAGTCCACTTGTAGGAAAAAGCCATAAGGAGGAAGGAACTACAATTCTAAAGAATCCAGATACAACTGGCTGGCTTTGCATGATCTCATCATCTTTTTATCATGGCTTCCCTAGTGTTCTGCCTAACTTCTATTTACTGTGATCCTGTCTAGCTGGCTAGAAGGCTTGGGCGAGGAGCATGGTATGGCAACGCCCTATCAAGGGTACCTCTTTCTTTCCATCTTTCTCGCTCTCCTTTTTTAAGGAAATAAACTTTAAAAAAAAAAAAAAGAAAAAAGAAAAGCCAGTTTATCCCTGTGTATTTTTTTTTCTTTAGAGAGATTTTTTTCTATAGGGTCCGTACATTTGCTGAAGAGACAGAGAAAGACAGATAGAAAGTGAGAAATCACCCAGGGGGATGACCATGCCTCAATCCCTTCTCCTTTCTCCTCTCAGGACTTTGTGCACACATGCACACGTGCCCAGCGTGAGTTTTAAGCCACGTGTCCCGAACTTGAACCGTGGTCAACTGCATGGGAGTCCAGTGACGTAACCATTACTCCATCTGCTGGTCCCTCCTTGTGCATTTTTACTTTGTAGATATGATACGCTGACTGTAGTAAATGTATTCTCTTGGTCTTTTTTTTTTTTTTTTTTTGAGTGCCAGTCATTATTTATCGCCATTATAAACTAAGGGCATGTATTTCCCATCTGTCCAGTCCCAGAATTACAGAAAATTGAAAGCTGTGGGATCTGAAACCATAGTGCTGTGGAGCAGCCCTGAGCTACTGCCACTGTGTATGTCAGAGGGCAGGGCAGAGTGGGTGGTGGTCTCAGCGTGAGTCTTCCCCTTCCTCGTTTATTCCCAACCCCTCATGCAGAGACTAAGCATAATTATACCTATGGGATTGAAGTTCTCATTGAGGATCATGTCTCATTCATCTTCTTGTCTCTGGTACCTAGTACGGAATCCAGCCCATACCCACTTCAGCAGAGATTTGATTAAAATATTGAAAGAGCATTTATTCTTTTTGTTTTTTTAAAGAACTAGTTATTTAATTTAATTAATCGATTTATTTATTTTTAAATTTTATTTATAATTATTATTATTTAATTTGCTATTGGGCATGAGCACTCACCAGAGAGACAGAGAGAAAGAGAGAGACATGGAAAGTGAGAAAGCAAGCTGCCAGGTCCAGGACTCAAATCAGGGTCAGCCACGTGGGAGTCTAGTGCCCCAACCACCACACTACCATATGATCCCAATTGATTCTTAAATACGCATTTTTCTGATTATGAAAGGAATATATGTTAATTTTAGACTATACATAAAAGTCTAAAGAAGAAAGAAATCTCACAAGCCCACCTCTATAGCCCATCATTTATCTTTTTAGTACTTTCTTACCCTTGTCAACTATAGGGGTTGTTTTCCTGCAGGTTGGCCCAAACTGCTTAACAAGATTAGGATCTCACAGGAAGTAAGGAGCATGCAGAACAACAGTAAAAGCTGGCATTCAGTGTGCCCGGACCCGTTCGGCAGACAGTGTGCCTGGACCCGTTTGGCAGAACGCGTGTTTCTGAGTGTGGGGCTGAGGATTCTAAATAAACATAAAAATAAACACACAGAGACATAAAGTATAGAAAAGGAGGACTGGGTGGGCCTAGCTTCTTTGATGGAGAAAGCCTGTGAACCAGTCTCAGGTTTATTTTATAGGGCAGAAAATGGAGGAAGAGGAAATGGAATGCAAAGCCAGTTGTTTTCAGATGTTAATCAGCTGATGATGGGAGAATGGCCTTGTGATTTCTCTGATATTTGGGGGCTAATTCTGATAAACACATGTGACTTCCTTTAACCTGATACTACTTTGCACATAGCCGATGACAGCACATAGCTAGTGTGTTCATGTGTTGATTGCCTTCATTGCTATGCAAATGGTAGCTCACTGAACAGCATGCTTATGCGTGTATCAGAAGGTCACCATGTTTGCTCAGAATGACTGCTCTCCACACTGTGTGTGGGAATGCATGTGTATCTACTTCCAAAACAAACCACAATTGTCTACATAAAAATATGACTAGTGGTATATAGTCCTTCTTTTTAATAATCCTCAGTTGTCTGAAGAACAAAAGTTACTATTTCCTTATCTGTGAAAGGTAACTTTTGTATTTATATTCTCCTTTGTTGATTGGCAAAATGCCTGGCCCTTTTAAGAATTTACTTAGACATATAGTTTTTCCTGAGTTTGGTCTTTGGTCTATACCAACAGGCAGGGAAGCAGTAAGTATTGTCTTTTGCATTTGTCTAAGGGACCAAAGTAAATATGTATGTGTAAAAATAGCATGGATTTTTAAACTATTTCCTATCCTTTTTTAATTTGTTTTACAACATTGGAATTGTATTATGTGTGCTATTTTATAACCTGTCCTCCCAACACACACTTTTTTTTTAATTGTCAGAGGGCACATGTGCTTGCCAGAAAGAGAAATAGAAAGCATCCCTCAGTGCATCATGGTCACAATTCTTTTTCTCCATTCTTCCTTCCCTTCAGGATTTTGGGCATGCACGCATGCAAGCATGCATATGTGCCCAGAATGGGGTAGCCCACCTGCTTTTTCCTGTGTCTAAAAATACTCTTTTAAAATGAATGTTCTTTTTGTAAAAAAAAATAATTTCTTCCATGAGTGTGAGAGACAGCACCCTTAACAGGGTTTTGATGTCACAATCCTTGATGTCCATACCCTCAGCAAGCCCTGCATCGTGGGCATGCACATGCCTGGCATATTCAGGGAAGTCTCTGGATGTGAACTCAGAACCTTCTAATGTGGATCAGCCTCACAGAGTGTCACATTTTACCAATGTGCCACTGTCCAGATTCCAAAGATACGATTTTTAATAAGAGACATAGTGGTCCATCATACATATGTGTCATATTTTCTCTTTTTTACTTGCTATAGGGTATGTGTGCTCATGGACAGAGACAAAGACAGACAGAAAGGGGGAAAGTCAGAAAGCATGCCCCACGGGAATGGCTATGGTATAATGCCCACTCCTCCATTCTCCTCCAAACATGCATGCTTGCACACATGCCCAGTGTGTTTTTTCAAGTTACGAGGCCCAGAACTTGAACCATGCCATCAGCCATGTGGGATCCACCCGTCTTAACCACCATGCTCTGGCCGATCCAATGCATGTATCATATTTATTAATCAACTCCCAATTGTTAGACATGTTCTTAATTTTTGCTATTATAAGTATACTTGTATATTGTAAATCTTGCTTCTCAACTTTGATTTGTAAAAAATATGTTCCTAGAAGTAGAATTTCTAGGTAAAAGAGTATGTACATTTCTTTTTTTTTTTTAATTTTTAATTTTTTTTATTTTTTTATCATCATATCTTCTTCATATTACATTGGATTACATATAACTTTACAGTGTATTACATTGTTTCTTCAAAAGGGAATGCCATGCACGTCAGTCAGTACAGAGACATTAATCTCCCCACTTCAACATTCCATATCTTTTCTGTTTTCCCCAATCATTATCTTTATTATTCTAATTATTTTTATAAAACAGTCAATTGCTATTTCTCGTTTTGCTTGTAAAAATACTTTGCCCGTCATGAAACACTTCTCAGACCAATCCAGTTGAGAATACTATACATGTCATCATCAACAGTTAATAAGCCCTATCTGTTTCTCACTAACGTCCTGTCTCTCTATTGTTCACTTGCTATCTTTCTCTATCCTCTTCTCTTCACTTACCCCATTCCACACTGTCCTATTCTCATTAAGTACCTTCAAGAGTATGTACATTTCTAAGGCTTTTGGTAAGTATTGCCAAAAAGTTTTGCTTTGAAGTTGAGTAGTTTTCAAATGGAAAATTGGTGGTTCTCTGTTAGACATCTGGAGGCATATTTATTGAAAACCTTATTATTAAGGTTAGTTGAAGCTGATGATAATAAAACTGGATGATTATGTGTGCACTTTTTCTCTTGCTTTTGTTTTCTTGGCTTTCCGCCATGAATACAATCGTAACAATATGCTTTGGTACTGCTTTTTATAGAAAACGTGTCTCAACCCAGCAGGACAGGACGGAATAAAGACTCCCAGGAGATGAGCCAAATGCCGTCATCACGGGAGGAGCCCTCAGGCAAGTAGTAGAGGGACTGCAGGTGGTGTCTGTGAAGTAGAAGAGGAGAGGAGGGAGGGGGAGAGAGAGACAAGGAAAAGGAGGAGCATGAAAAGAAAATCATGGAGGATGGAAGCAGTAGGCTACAGCAGGAGACAGAGTCCGAGGCAGCAGTGCAGGGAATGAGTCTTGTAGGACTCATTAGAGATTGTGGTCTCAGCACAGTCCTTTTCCCTCCATTCCTCCTTCCCTTCGGGATTTTGGGCATGCATGCATATGTGCCCAGTATAGGACCAGCCTATCTGTTTTTTTTTTTTTTTTTCTTATCTCTTAAAATATTCTTTTAAGGGCCAGCAGGTGGCCTGGTGGTTAAGGTGCTGGACTCCCACATGACCAACTGCGGTTTAAGTCTTGGACCTGGTAGCTTGAAAATCACACGGGACACATGTGTATGTGTGCCCAAAATCCCAGGAGAATGGAGAAGGGCTTGCTGCGTGCCCATCCCCCTTGAGGGGGTCATTTCTCCTTCTCCCTCTCATTGTCTCTGTCTCTTTGTCTCTCCCCCATAGTCTCCCCCCTCCATGAGTACATGTACCCTAAGGCCAAAACCTCTTTTTTCTTTTTCTTTCCTTATCTTTTTTTTTTTTTTTTTTTAAAGCATGTTCTTTTTTTAAAAAAAATTTTTCTTAGAGCCGGCAAGTGGCATGGTGGTTAAGGGCGTTGGACTCCCACAGGGCTGATTGCAGTTTGAGTCCTGGACCTGGAGGCTTGCTTTCTTGCTTTCTCTCTCTCTGTCACTCTGTCCCTCTCTGGTGGAATTAAAATAAATAAATAAATAGGGGCCAGCAGATGGCATGATGGTTAAGGGTGCTGTACTCCCACATGGCTGACCGTGATTAGAGTCCCAGACATGGCAGCTTGCTTTCTCACCTTCCCTCTCTCTTGCTCTCTCACTCACTCTGTCCCCTCTCTGGTCAAATTTAAATAAATAAATAAATAAATAAATAAATAAAGTTAAATAATTCTTTTAAAAAGTAATTAAAATAAATAAATAAAGTTAAATAAAATAACTTTTTTTTTGAGAGAGAGATTTTTTGCTATAGGGCGCGTGCGCTCGCCAGAAAGACAGAGAGAGACAGAAAGACAGAAAGCAAGAAATCATCCCCCAGGAGGGTTGGCCATGCTGCAATCCCTTCTCCATTCTCCTCTTGGGATCCTGGGCACGCACGCACACGTGCCTGGCATGAGTTTAAGCCACCGGGTCTGGGACTCGAATCACGGTCGACTATATGGGAGTCTAGCGACATAGCCACGATGCCAACTTCTGGTCCTAATAAAATAACTCTTTTAAAAAAATTTGTTTCTTCCAGGAGTGAGAGAGAAAGAGACAGTACCCTCAGCAGGGCCTGATGTCATAATCCACCCCCAGCCTCAGCGAGCTCTGGATCATGGGCATGCACATGCTTGGTCCAAAGGCTTCCCTGAATAGAGGAGGGGTGGCAGCCGACCTGTAAGGCAGCACAGAGGGCCTTATGGACCCCAAGTGGATGCTGCAGCCAGGGTCCTGGACAGAACCGGAATATACGCAAGGCTTGTGTTTGGTGTCAACCTGTTTGCCTTTCTTCTACTTCTCTTCTCATTCTCATTTACATTTCCACATGGCGTGGTTATATTCTAACTTGTGGAACAGTCTTAGGGTTTAAGAACTAGGGTTATTAGTGAAGTGTTCTTAATATAGTTTTTAAAGTAGTAGAAGGAATTTCTGAGAATTGGACTGTCACTGATGTGTTTCTTTTGTGTTACTTATTCTAAAAATAGCTGTTGCCACTTTTTTTCCCCCCTTAACTTAGTATCGAAGACTGAATATGAAAAAAGCAGAGATGAATTGAAGAAAAAAAAAACTTCAGGTCCAAGTAAAGTAAGTGCTTTGTGGGTCAGCCAGGTGGTGTGATGGTTAAGGCGTCTGGATCCCACATGGCTAACTGCACTGTTCAGGTCCCAGACCCAGTGGTTTAGAAAACACTCCAGGCATGTGTGCGTGCCTGCTCAAAATCCCAGGAGGAGAAGGAATTGTGACATGGCCACCCTGCTGGGTGATTTCTCACTTTTTCCCTCTCTCTCTCTGTCTCTCAGCTAGCACACATGCCCTGTAATTAAAAAAAAAAAAAAAAAAAAAATGATTTTTTTATTATTTTAAATTTATTTATTTATTTTTATTTGTACTTGACCAGAGAGGATCAGAGTGAGAAAGAAAGAGGGAGGGAAAGGGAGAAAGCAAGTTGCCAGGTCCGAGACTTGAACTGTGATTGACCATGTGGGAGTCCAGGGCCCTTAATTACCACACCACTTGCTGGCCCCCACTAAATTTTTTGTAAGTAAGTCGTTTGCTTCTTTAGAAGTAAAAATGAGCCCCCTCATCATGGACCACATCTAGAAGAGTGAATCTTTGGAGACAGATTTAACAGAGTTCCCAGCAGACTTACCCTGACTCCCAGAAATTTGGGCTCCTCTTTATTTTTGTGTTTGAATTCCCTATTCTTGTCTCTATCCTCCCTGTTCCCTATAATTGCTCACATACAAGCTACTGCTTTGACTAATGTGTGAATCTTAATTCATATCCTCGTACGCCATACAAAGACATTTGAATGATATTATTATTTTCCTTATTATACAGAAGGTAGACTACAATGTACTCCATTATGCATCTTTTCTATTTTTTTAACCTTTTTTGCTAGAGGATGTGCATGCGCTCACTGGGGAGGGGGTGAGAAAGCACCCCCTATGGGGAATGGCCACACCACCATTCCTTCTCCTCCACTCTGCTCTTGGAATTTTGGGCACACACATACACGTGCCTAGCATGTTTTTTAGGCCACTGGGTCTGGAACTCAAACCACGAGTCAACCATGTGTAATGCAGCTGCCTTCACCATCATGGCTGCCACCTGTTGGTCCCTGCCTCTAAATTTTATTTTTTTAATGTTATAGAAATCATTCTATATCAGTGTGTTGAGCTTCCTACTTTGTGGATAAACCCTATTTTACCATGTGGATTGTTATTAGTCTTATTGTAACAGTGCTATAACAAGCAACCGTGCTTTACATAGTTGTATATGAATAAGGTAGGATCCCAGCAGTGGGATTGTTAGCCCTCAAGAACACCCTTTGGTTAGGTAATTCACAGGAGGACTCCCAGAGTTCAGCGTGTGGTTGTACTTGCAGTTCTGGTTTGCTACTGCAAAAGGGTATCAGGCATAATGAGCCAAGGGAAAAGGCATATGAGATGACATCAGGAGAAACCCAGCACAGCTTCCAAGGGTCCGCTCCCAGTTCAGTCGTGCAGGATGTACGGAATTCTAGCAGAGTTATGACAAAATGTGTGAGATGTTGCTAACTAGAACAGCTTAGTAGACCAGTGGCCAGTTTTGTTTTGTTTTGTTTTGTTTTCCTGAGGAGTGATCACGTAGGCATTCTGTGCCTGGCTTGTACCCAAATTTCAGACTTCCAGAAGGAAAGCAAGTGTTAACCACGCTGTTTGTAAAAGTTGAGCACAGTGAGCTGCCCTTAGCAGTGAGGGTAGTAGTGACTCTTCCAAGTCCCCAGGTGCCAGCTGAAGGCCAACCCTGCCAATAGGCTTTCAAGGGTAGCAGTCAGGTTGCCCTGTTAACTTTTTTTCTACACCTAAGTCAAAAGGCAAATGCCAGATTTTCCTCTCTGAGGGTTATACCGTTTAGCACATATACCTGTGGTGTGGAAACTGCCCTTTTGTAAAGAGCATCACATCGCTCTCACTGGCTGAGGGTCAGCTTGTTGAGTCTTAAAACCCAACAAAAAAATAAAGGTTCAGCACATGTGTATGCATGCCCAAAATCCCAAGAGGAGAACAGAGGAGAAGGGATTGCCGTATAGCCATCCCCCCGGGGGGGCAGTGATTTCTCATTTTCTGTCTTTCTGTCTCTGTCTGTCTCTCCAGCCAGCGCACACACCCTATAGCAAAAATCTCTCTAAAAGAGAAGAAAAAGAAGGTTCAAAGAGAGAACGCTCACTTAAATGAGTTACTTTGGTCAAGGTCATTGCTTGAAATTCTTTATGTTTTTTGTTGTTGTTTTTTATTCATTAATTTTTTTCAGAGAGAGAGAGAGAGAGAAGGCACCCCCAGCAGAGTCCTCATGCTGCAGTTCACTCCCAGTCTCAGGTGGCCTGGATCCTGGGCACACACACATCACCCAGCGTACTCAGGATGTTCAGGAGGTGAACCAGGACCTGTCCCACATGGGTCCAGTTGTGTTGCTGCGCCACCATCTGGCCCTGTGTTCTCTCTTAGTTTTGCTGTTGACAGGGAGAGCAAGAATAATTCTTAGAGTTAAATTCCTTTAATAAAATTATCTACATTTTGTTTGCAGCCTTCGCTGGCACTTTCTTCCAAATATCCTGAAGATGACCCAGACTACTGTGTGTGGGTCCCACCTGAAGGTAGATTGTTTTTACTTTTCTTTTCCTCTGAGATTTACTTATATTTCTGAATAGGTAAGGGATATTTAAGGTTCAAAATAAGACATTTAGAAGCATATATAGAAAAAGTCAACCTTCTAATAGAATTGGCAGATTAAAAATATCTGAGGAGACATATCAACCAAATATAACTTGTACGCTATGTTATTTATTTATTTATGAATGAGAGATTTTTGCTATAGTGCGTGTCCATTTGACAGAGAGACAGAAAGCAAGAAATCATCCCCCAGAGGTGATGGCCATGCCACAGTCCTTTCTCCTCCATTCTCCTCTTGGGAGTTTGGGCATGCATGCACATGTACCTGGCATGAGTTTTAAGCCACCAGGTCTCAGATTCGAACTGTGGTCAACTACATCGGAGTCAAGCAATGTAGCCGTTACACCATCTGCTGGTCCCTGTATTTTTAGTTTTATTTATTACATTAAAAGGAAGGACAAAAATTCTGGCTGTGCCTCAGCCACTTAGGTTTTTCCTCTGAAGTTAACCAGTGTCAATTTTTTACAAGTTTTTTTGTTTTTTGTTTTTTTTGAGAGAGATTTTTGCTATTGGGTGTGTGCGCTCGCTGGAGAGACAGAGAGAAAGAGAGACAGAAAGCAAGAAGTCACTCCCCAGGGGATCGTCATGCCATAATCCCTTCTCCTCCATTCTCCTCTCAGGATCTTGAATACACATGCACACACGCCCCAGCATGAGTTTTAAATCGCCGGGTTCAGGTTCAGGACTCAAACCACGGTTGACTACGTAGGAGTCCAGTGACATAATCATTATGCCACTTGCTGGTCCCTACAAATTCTTATGTATGTTATTTAAAATGCCTACATAGGCAATAAACACATACTTTTTTACCTTTTTTTTTTTAGAGGTTTTTTGCCATAGGCTCATGTGCTCACTGAAGAGATAAAGACAGAAACAGAGAGAGGGAACGTGAGAAATCACCTCTCGGGAGGTGGGCCATGGCCGTGCTGCAGTCCCTTCTCCATTTTCTGCCTGAGATCTTGTGTACACACGCCTGGCGTGATTTTCAAGCCACCAGGTCTGGAATTTAACTGCATTAGCCATGTGCCATATGGGAGCCCAGTGATATAACCACTATGTCACCTGCTGGCTCATTACCACTTTTTTAAAAATCCAAGTGAAAGCGTATTCTACACCTTGTCTTCCACTTAGCGCTATGAGAGGTCCCTTCATAGCTGCTTATAGTTTCTTAGTTTTGTTTTGTCTTTACAACAGCAGAGTTCTTTTTTTATGGTATGGTTATAATTTTACTTCATTGATCACTTCCCTCAATGGGTATTTGCTCTGTTCCCAGTCTTTTGCCATTACAAATAACTCTGCTATAAATAACCTCTAATGTATATAATTTCATAATATATGTAATTGATCAGGTGTAGAATGCATCTGTAGAAGAAACTTTAAAAAGTTAACATGCTGGATCGAAGGTATGAACAGTTGAAAGATATTATAAATTGCCTTCTATAGAGATCATACCAGGTTTATGCTCATACACACACCTGTAAGGAGATGCATGGAATACTTGTTTTCCCATAAGCTCAACTTATGTTGCTTTTTCTAGGGATGGGGTTCCTAATATGTTAGTAATGAATAGCAATTTATTTACTATATATGTTTGCTTTTTATCTGCCAATAAATGTTAGGATAGAAAGAAAAAAAGGAATATATTTTGAAATTCTACACAAAAAGTAAGATTTCTATCACAGGTGAAACCTCTTTATCTAATTTACTTTTTGCCTACTAGATATCTTTTTGTCCTGATTTTGGAAGAGTAAATGTATTTCTTTTTATACTCTGATCTAGGCCAAAGTGGAGATGGCAGGACTCATCTCAATGACAAGTACGGCTATTGATCGCTTCAGAATGTGACATAGATAATGAATCAAGTTGAACGCCTGGAGGGGTTCAAGTGATCACTTGTCAAATGTGACTGGCCTTTTCTTCTGTGCTCTTGGCGTCCTAAATTTACCTGCCCATCTGGTTGTTCTGGATTTGGTATTTATGTTTAAGTGTTTGTGTCTGTATGTAAAAAGGGAACCATATATTTTGAGAATTAATAAAAGACATGACCGTACAAAATAAGAAGGTGAAGATGTCTCTACCACTGGTTTAAGGACGTGGTCTCTTTGATTAAACTCACAGACAGTACCATTCCCGAGCAGAAGGCTGCTCCTGGCAGTTAGGCTACAGGAGTCACTGATGCTGCCTTCTCAGATAATGGTTGAAATAAGAGATGATGCCGTGGGCATGCCCTGGGTGTCCGTCTTTTCTGAAACTTAAAGTAGATTCGCAGTGGGGACTTCCTACTCCCTCTAACTGTAACCTACCAGGTTTGAGAGCAGACCCTAATCAGGACATAGTTAACCGAATCAGCACCTCACGCAGCCAGGTACTGGTCTTGATTAAAACAGCCCATTGAGGGACCAGCAGATGGCATAATGGTTACAGTGCTGGACCCCCACGTGGCTGACACAGTTTGAGTCCTGGACCTGGAGGCTTGAAACTCACACTGGGCCTGCGTGCATGTGTACCCCAAATCTCAAGGATAGAATGGAGGAAAAGGGATTACAGTGTGGCCCTCTCTCCAGGGGGTGATTTCTCACTTTCTGTCTCTCTGTGTCTCTGGTGAGCACATGTACCCTGTAGCAATAATCTCTCTAAAAAGGAAAAGAAAGCAGCCCATTGAATGTGCTGAACTCTGAACAGTCAGTTTTTCCATCACCATAACACTCCCACTTATTTCAGCTGGGCATTGGGACTTCATTTTGGATATGCATCAGCTGAAGTCTGATTTCCACCATCATAAGCGCAGACCTTGTCACTGTCTCCTAAAGGAAAGAACACTAGCTCTGAATTCAGAGCCCTGCACTGTGTGGCCCTGCCACTTAGCCGAGTAGCCCTGAGCAAGGCATGAGAATAAGCTGGGATGACTGGAGGGTGTCTTCAGGATCACTTAGTCCAACCCCTTGTTCTGTAGGTGAATACCAAGTTGTGACTCATTCCCATCACAGTTTCCTCTCTCTGAAGCCCCAGTTTAGTTAGTGCTGTGTACAGGAGGCTTTCCCTCAGCGGGAAAATAGAGATCATAGTGTATGACCTGCTTGTCACCAGGATGGCCAAGATGGCCAGCATGGAAGAATATCTATGGGGCCAGCAGATGGTGTGTGTTATGTCGCTGGACTCCTACGTAGTCAACCAGGGTTCAAGTCTGGAACTTGGCGGCTTAAAACTCATGACAGGTGTGTGCACACGTGCCTGAGATCCTGAGAGGAGAATAGAGAAGGGATTGCAGCGTGACCATCCCCCTGGGGGGATGATTTCTTGCTTTCTGTCTCCCTGTCTCTCTCTCTCGCTGGAGAGTGCATGCTTCCTATAGCAAAAATCTCTCTTTAAAAAAAATAAAGAATTATCTGTGAAGACACTGAATACCATCACATGCTATTGTTATTGTTAAGATGTTTTCGATTTTCACTGTTTTCTTGTTTTTGTCTTACCATGGCTTTTCCCAGTGAGGTTGAAGTGATTTTCCTGGAACTTTCTCCAGCTCCTCCCTCCCATGTGGAGTCAGGGTCACCATCAGCATCTCACAGGTCTCCTAAAGTTCCACCATGTGGATTGTGTCCTGATTAGAGGTAGAAGACGTATTTCTTACATGGCATTCC